CCCGGCCCGCAGCCAGCCAGGCGCTGCTCTGGGATGGACACAGCAAGACTGCGTGAGGAAGAGGCCGACCCTCCACTCCTGGGAGTCAGCTCCGGGAGGGACACTGTTAGGAACATGAATCCACCCTGTCAGAGGTTTATGTCCAAAAGGGAGAGACCATGGAAATTTCCTATAGGGTCTCAGACTGTTGGGGGACTCAGCCCCCCTTTTATCCTAAGTTCCTGGCTGCATCACCCTCTTCCTCTTCCCCATTGGCTGAGGTACTCGGAAAGTACAGACTTCCCAAATCGCCTACTCTACAACCCCCTCTGGTAGGCATCCCCCTTTTGATATATAAAGGAAAGAAGAAAAATAAAGGTATTCATAATTCTATTAAGTCTTTGTTCTTTTTCTCTAGGTTCAGGAATTTCACACGGCCTTGGCTAAGCAACAGTCCGTGTTGATTAGTAACATTTTCTAGAACTATTAGTTTCTTCTGTTACTTCTCTATCTATTAAAGTTCCTAGCACTATCTACAAGCACATTCACATGGTCTGTTTGTAAAGACACATTCATCTTATTCCTTTCACACACCATGCCTGGTCTGGATACCATAGCTGGAATATGACACTGTAGTTTGAATATGGACACCATAGCTGGGTTATCACCTCCCCAAACATGCCCTGAACACGGCAGAAAGACCCTCACTCCTTCAACCCATGAATAACCAGACACAGCCATAAAGAATTTGTCAAAAACCAGCTTTGCCACTGAAGCCACTAAGGCAAAAAACAAGTTTTCCGTGGCTGGAAAGGTCTCATGGAAGAGGCTCATGCCTCCACGCAGACATGTCCCTTTCCATGGTCCCTCTGGCCATAGGCCCCTCCATGTCCCCAGTGACAGCCACACACTCGTCCATATGCCGCACACAAGACAAGCACCTTTCCATGCTGGCCCTGGCCATGTCCCCCTGAGCCACCTCAAGCCACATTTACACCCATGTCCTCTCCCAGCCGTGTCCACCCCATGCCCAGGGACACACTCCCTCCCGCATTTAGATCCCAAAACTGTGCTGTGCTGCCACTTCGAGGCACAGACCCCGTGCTGCATTCCGTGGCCGTACCCACAGAGACACCCCGGGAGGGGAACACGGACAGGAGCAGGGATGGCTGCGGAGGGGCTGCCAAGGCTCCCTCATGAGGGGACAGTGCCTCCGCCTCGGCCGCGCGCCCTTTCCCCGCCCACCGGCCTTTGCCTGCCAATCAGCTCTCGCTGCCCCCGAGCCTTGGCCAATCATGACCTGCACTGCGGGACGCCCCGCCCACCCACTCACGGCTAGGGCCGCTCGTTTCGGGTCAGGGCCGCCGCTTCCGGCGCGCTGGGGCCGTGCGGCCGCCATGGTGCGGGCGTTCGTGCTGCTGGCGCCGGGCGGGCCCGCCCCCTGCCGCGTGCTGTACGCGCGCACCTTCGGGACCCCCCCCGGCGCCGGCCCCGGGGGACCCCGGCAGCGCCTCCGCCGCAAGGAGCAGCTGCTGGTCGTGGCCAGGTACACGCGGGACACCCGCCCCCGCGGGAATCCCCTTGCTGCGCATGCTGCTGGGACATCCGGCACCGTGTGCCCGCCGTCTCCTGAACCCTCTGGACCTGGGACACCTGCTCGCTCTCCCTGGGATCCCCACAGCCGTGATATGCCCACTTTGTTTGATGGGAGGGCTCTTGGGCATTGCCTGACCCCCAGGGCTGGGACACCCACCCCTTGACTGTGGGACACCTTCCGTTCCTGAGCAGAGCCTGTGTCAGCTCCCCTTGCGGGGAACAGGGCTCAGCGAGAGCCCCAGGGATCATTCATGGGATCCACACTTTTGGAGATCCTGGGCCCGGCAGGACCCCTGGGACCCTGTTCCCCAGCAGAGGGGTCACTGTCCCTGGATGAGGTGCGAGTCCTTAACACGAGTGTCCCCCTTTTCTCTTCCAGACAAGTGGCCTCCCAGTGCCAACTGCTTCAGGCGTCCTTGGGGCGCCCGTCCTCCCCACAGCTTCCCCAGCTACCCGATGAGCCGGTGTCTCTCCAGGATGCTCCAGGGGGTGTTTTCCAGATGTCCCCCGGAGACCCATTCCCTGAGCGGGTGACAGTAGTCTGGTTATCGGTGCTGGCCCTCGCCTTCGCCTTGGTTTGTGAGCCCCAGGAGAATCTGTCCTTGGCTGAGATCACCCTGCGGCGCCTGGCTCCCCGTCTGCTGCTCTCCCTGCGCCTCCTCGGGCCCGGTGCTGATGTCCTGCTCCGTCCTGATGCCGCTGATGGCCTCCTGGACCGTCTCCTGCCCCACGGGCAGATGCTTTTCCTCAATGAACGTTTCCTTCAGGCAATGGACCGAGAGCTGGGGCTCAAAGTGTCCCGCTGAGCCGCAGATCGCATTCCTGCCTACCACCCCCAGATAATTTGAGGGATGAGAGACAAGGGAGGGATCTGAGATGGTCACCAAGCCCCAGTGGGATGGATGAGAAAATTAGTTCTGGTATAAAGAGCAATGAGCCAGCTAAGAGGAGGGTTTTAATCCATTTTTTCCCTAATGCCATCATGGGAGTGCTAATAGTCATCCCCATAAATCCACCTGGAGCTGGGACAGTGCCAAGTTCCTGCACTGCATTCCTGCACCACTCCATGTGCACATGACAGCGAGTGGAGGCTGCACGTAGCCATGAATGGACGCTAAAAGAGGGACCCTGGATTGTGGTTATCCCAGCTGGGCACTGTGGGGCATGCAAGGTTTCCCTGGCAGGGGAAACATGGCTCTGGGATGGGACCTTGCCAGGGTACATGGGGCGAGCAGGGGTGTGCACCCCGCCATAGGGCATTGGGGTCTCTGTGTGGGGCATTAAATGAACAGGCAGTGGGGCAGGATGTAGCCTTGTGCCTGGCACAGCAGGGTGCTTGTCCCTAGATGGTGCTGCGTGGGGCCAGGGGACCTGTGTGACACCCTGGGAGGTGGCAGGAGCTGGCACCCACCTACCCCGCTCTTCAGGGTACAGTGGGGAGCAGGGTCCTACCCTAGCAGTTTCTGGGTGCTGGGAAATCCAGGGAGCCAGGAGCTGGTGTGCACAGCTCTTACACCACTGTGCTGGGAACAGGCTGGGCACTGCCACACTGTGCAGAGGGGCTGTCATGGGGCAGGCCCCAAAGTGCTTTCCCTTGTAACTGCACCAGTAAAACTGGAGCACCTGAGGAGGGGTGCTGGGCACTGGGCTTCAGCCATGGTGGCTGTGCTGGGGGATCTCACTGTGTGCTGGAGGTGGGGGGACATTGCTGCCCACTGTGGCATCCCCCCTTAAGGGAAAGGGAGCACTGTATTCACCTCCCCATGTGATAGCAACTGTCATGTACTGCACCCACAACTGGCTTGAATACAACCAAGAACCAAAGAGACATTGTCCTGGAGAGTTTCAATGGTGTTAGCAATTAATTGTTGATGAGATACTGGAATCTGAATGTATGGGCCATTATTGTGTCTGCACTGATAGGATTCCAGTTGCTGGATTTCAATATCACCTGGTTTATGGCCAAAATTCTCTTGCAAATCAGCCACCTGAATTGGATCAAATGCAATAGTTATTTGTGTGTGGTTTTCCTTTCCACCCTCAGGTCTAGTAGATTCAGGGGGAATTGAAGGAGATCAGGAATCATCTTTTCCTGATTCTCTGTCATGGTGATCGCCCTGTATGTTTCCATCCCATGTAGGTCTGCCAGACTTTTCCAGGAACTTTGATATCATTGTCACCATATATGGCACCATTTTGGTAGCAGTTTGCTGACCCTGTCCACCATCTGTATTTCAATTTTAGGTAAAGGTCATAATGTTATTTCCTTATCATGAAAATGTTACATGTATTTTTTTGTCAGGGTAACAGACCCATTTACTGTCTTCCAACTCCCTCATTGGATACAGAAGGTCAGAATTGTGAGACTGTATTTCTGCAAATGGTCCAGATGCTCTATCCTGCACTCGTGCCTCCTTTCCCAGAGACCCCACTGACCTGGCCTGGGCCAGGCACCACTTGGCTTCTGCTTCTCCTTGATCTCCTCCTGGAGCGAGAGCAGTACCTGCTCCATCATGGTGGGCTCCTGTACTGCACAACCTGCTGGATCAGATCATCCAGGATGGAGCAGATCAGCCTATGCAGCCCTTTCCTACAAGAGACATCAAAGGAGCACTCAGGAGGGCAGAGAGGAGGACTCCCCCTGCTTGCAGCACCCTCAGCCAGGTCCATAGCTGTGCTCCGTAGCTGAGCCAGCTCTCTTGAACCTTTACAGCTTGGGTGTGGCAGGAGGGTGGAGCTGCCAGGGCTCCTGGGCACCAGAGCATGTGGAATCCTGAGAGGTTTGGGGGCCCTGGGTGGCAGAGCTGTCTCTGCACCTCCACAACCCCATGGCACTCATTAAAGGGGCTGTGGCTGGGGGAGAAGTGCAGACAGGTGGGAGGAGAGGTGATGCTGGGCTCCATTCCTGACCCCTCATGGCTTGGGTTTAGTGCCTGGCCAGCATCCACGTTACCAAAGTATCCTATCAGGGATCAGGGCATGCTCCTGTGGCACTGGCAGTACCTCTGCCACGTTTATTGGGCTGGACT